AGACGGACAGTCACGACGGAGTAGAAACAAGGTCGCGTCCCCTTCAGCTTGGCATTGCAATCGAAGCAGGCTCGATGCGAGTACTAGTACAGGCGGCAACCACAGAGCGGAGGTTGCTACCTCGGCTAAGAGTACTGGTAGCTACCACCAGCATGTCTTGCGCTGTCGCTATAACCAGTAGTCGCCCTGAAAACGGTAAGCACAATACGAAACGGATCGAGAAATGCAGCGCATACTGTAAGACAGAAAGATACAGACGGGATGTACAAACTTGTTTGGTTATACATTGCTCCGTCTTGTGCGTCCCAGAGCTTTCCAAAGCTCTTTCCAGTCTGTCCATACAACCCAGATTCTGTTGCCGCCAATCACAGCGAACGTTTCGGAACGAGCCAAACACGTTGCGGCGACCGAGAGGAAGCGTACGGGTTCGCAGCAAGCACCAGCAGGATCAGCATGGCGTCCATGGCGTCGTCCGACCTCGTTCGGCAGAAGAAGGAGCACATGAAGATGCGCAACTTTATGAACAAGCAGCGCATGCGCGAGCGCTATGACGCCGGAGCTTGATGCCCATCATAGTACTTGTTGCTTGGCGAAGAAATTGAGAAGTGAGCGAATGGAAGCCTGCAATCTGCGCCAGCCATAACCCGATACGCTGATAATTTACGGATAAGTATATCCGGAAGTATCAAGTTGTCGAAGGTCGGGGTTCTGTGACTGAATCGGTTGTTGCGGGTCCTCACGATGAGGTAATCCCTCAGCGCCGCAGAACTTGAATTATTTATATAACAGGAATGGCAACTTCATGTCTGAGTGACCATGCTGTATGTGCCTGCAGATCGGATAGGTTGATAGTTCCAGATAATAATGTTTATCCGGACGTAGTATATCAAGTGTCCGGCTACTGAGACCGAATGCGTTGTTGCGAGTGCGCTTTTGCGGACAGTGCCCCAACGCCGCAAAACTGAAACATTTTATGTGCCAGAAGTGGCGGCTTGTAGTCTGCGTATGAGTGAAGCCATCGCGATGTGGGATGCACGAGGGTCGTCACGCTCACCAGGACGCCTTTTGGGTCGACTGCGACGTCGCTGCTCGGCGACCCTGCTGCGCAAGCTCGGTCTCGACTGGTTTGGTCAGCATTTGGAGTACAGCACGGACGCATACATCAACAACGTCCTAGCCTGTACAACGACTTGCTCGTTAGATCGACCCCTTTAGTTTGGAGAGCGTGGAAGTGACAGGAAAGGCCCTGTGCAAGGACACGTCCCAAGTGTATTCCGTGCACTCGGGGCATTTGAGTATTGATATTTTATCAATACTCAACAATACACTCATCATATATTAACATTTTATATGCAGTCATGAAGCTGGTCTTATAGTGTAGCGGTTATCACGTCTCCTTGACGTGGAGAAGGTCCCCGGTTCAAGTCCGGGTAAGACCAAATATTTTTTATTTTGCACCTGTCGGTCATTGGACACAACGCATTTTAGGTATCGACAACGCGGCGACTTGGGTTGCATCGCACGTGAATTGAACTTGGTTCATGTAAAGCGT